CGGGTTAAGTTGTATCTGTTGGTATCCCTCAGAGGCATCAATTTGTAGCGTTCTGCGCAATCTCCCAACCCCATGTCCTGTGGATTATACCTTTGTTTGAAGGTGGTAACAGGGAGCAGCCTTCAGTAAATAAATTACATAGCAAATTTGGAGCTTCAAGATAAACATCTCGGGGGTGCTTTTTGCTATTACACAAAAAGGGACATGGAAGAGGCAGGGCCCTACCAAAAAATAGCACTCGAGGGTGAGAATTTGGAATATTCTCTAGGAACGGTTTCGATAACCCACCCAGAAAAGCTTAATAATTGTGGTGACAAAATACATGCAAAATTGACTGAAATAATGAATCTTTGGATTAATACCCTGCAAATTATATATTTTTAATCAACTGCATATTTGCATTTTGTCATCTGAGGGTATTAAAGGCACAAAACCCTGGGAAAACTAGATGAATTAGCAATCAACAATAATTAAGAGACAACAACGATTACCCATGCTAAGGATAGATTATGAATTTTTTTCAACCAAAGCCGACCAAAAATAAAAAATAAAACTAAATCAATACGCAAGCCATCAAAATTTGAATAGTCAACAAAAACAACCATGGATTTTAGAGAACTCTAAGCAAAGCCTCCCTACAGTCAACGGAGCAATAAAATTGAAAGGCAACAGATAAAAACAGCCATGGATTTTAGAGAAAACTCTTAAGCAAAGCTCGCTTTACAGCAATGTAGCCATCAAATTGAAAGTCAACAAAAACAACCCATTGGATTTTAGAGAAACTCTAAAGAAGCTCCCTACGCAACGGAGCAAATAAATTTTGAAAGGCAACAGATTAAAAAACAGCCATGATTTTCAGGAAACTCTAACGCAAAGCTCCTTACCAGCAACTATAGCCATCAAAATTGAAAGTCAACAAAAAAAACCACCATGGATTTTAGAGAAACACTAAAGCAAAGCTCCCTACAGCAACGGAAGCAATAAAAGTGTTTTGAAGGCAACAAAATAAAACAGCCATGGATTTTTAGGACTCTAAAGCAAAAGCTCCCTACAGCAACGGAGCAATTAAAATTAAAGGCAACAAAATAAAAACCAGCATGGATTTTTTGAGAAATTCTAAGCAAAAGCTCCGTACAGCAACGTAGCAAATAAAAATGAAGGCAACAAAATAAAAACAGCCATGGAATTTTAGAGAACTCTAAGGCAAGTCCTTACAGCCAATGTAGCCATCAAAATTAACAGTCAACAAAAAAACAACCATGGATTTTAGAGAAACTCTAAACCAAGCTCCCTAAGCAATCGTAGCAATAAATTTAAGGCACAAATAAACAACAGCCATGTATTTAGATAAACTCTAAATCAAAGCTCCCTACAGGCAACGTAGCAATTAAAATTTGAAAAAGGCAACAGATAAAAAGAGCCATGGATTAAGATAAACTCTAAGCAAGCTCCCTACAGCAACGTAGCAATAAAATTTGAAAGGCAAACAAAATAAAAAACAGCCATGGATTTTAGAGAAACTCTAAACAAAAGCTCCCTACAGCAACCGTAGCAATAAAATTTTGAAAGGGCAACAAATAAAAACAGCCATGGATTTTAGAGAACTCTAAAGCAAAGCTCCCTACAGCAACGTAGCCAATAAACATTGAAAGAGCAACAATAAAAAACAGCCATGGATTTTAGAGAAACTCAAAGCAAAAGCTCCCTACAGGCAACGTAGCAAAATTTGAAAGGCAACAAATAAAAAACAGCCATGGATTTAGAGAAACTCTAAAGCAAAAGCTCCTACAGCAACGTAGCAAT